TGAATAGAAAACAAAGCAAGCTTACAAAGAGATGTCCTGTTATGAGCTTGATAACTATTTCTCTCCATACAATTTTAATTTTTTTATCTTTTTGCTGCTTTGTCAGACATTTTGGTCATTTTACAATTGCTTCATTTCTGAAGAATTAAATCTTTGTCAGGCAACCTGATCTCAAATAAAAATTTTGTTTTTAAAACTCTAATAACAGTTTGTCTCCTTTGGCACTAACAACTAACATAATTTTGTCTATTATTGTTGCTATACTTTTACTTTTTGATTCAAAGTCAGGATGTTTATGAAGATGTTATGTAGATTTAATTCTATGTTTTTGCTTAAAGTCATTTATTTGAATATTTTCATTGAATCTGATGATAAAATCATTAAATTCTTTGTAATGTTTTATTTCCAGGAGCAGCATCCAGCCCTTATAACCCTCTATTTCCTGTGCTGCTGATTGTGGGATCAGTTAGTGGAATCATTATAATTATCCTCCTGGCCTTGCTGTGGCGCTCTAGACACCCCAATGGTGAGATCTTTATCCTCTCATGTCATGTTAAATTGCTTCTTAGTTTAAATACTTCAGTATTTAGTTAATGGATTTAATTTGAAGTAAATCAATTTAATGTTGATGATGTGAATGTTTCTTTTTTATCCCCCACAGATCGATGCTGCATCAGGTCAGTATGAAATACATTTTCTCTCATCTGGAACTTTTAATCTTTTTATTTTTCTGTAAATTTATTTCAAACTAATATTTTCAGGTTATTCCGGTCAGGAAGCAGCAATCAGAGCTCCAGCACCAATCATGAAATGAATCAGATTGAAACTAATGTTTACACCTCTTTGCAACACGGTTGGTCTCAGAATAGCATCAGTATTATTTTCTTCAACTCTTCCTTTATTGTGACTCTGTTTCAGAAAGAAATCAATTTCTTTAAAGCATCAAACAGTAAAATGAGTGCTGCTTTTGTCTGAAAAACACCAAATAACACCAGAGTTAAAGGAATCCTGGAGTCCATTTCCCAAAGCAGGTTTACTGAAAACTTAGTTTTCTGAACCCGAAAACAGGGAAACTCTGACTTTTCCGTTTCACAAAGAGAGTTTCCTCAACCTCTGTTTCAGTCACCATAGTAACATTCTCTCCAGAGCTAACCTGGTCGCTAGCAGGTTTTCTTCAGTAAACTTAGAGATTCCTTTGCCTCTACTCTCCCTACAGCCGATCACACTGTTTTATTTCCTGATTTGGTCTGATTTTTGACGTAGTTTTGTGCATAAAAAATAT